ACTATCACGATCAGTTGAGACCTCAGTCTCTAGGATTTCCACATCAAAAATATGAATAAGGTTCACGCTATGGACTGGATAATCTACAGTTCCTAAATAACCTACTACATTCGAGCAATTGCATTAACTCAGTACCAGCACGAGCAATGTTAGATTGCGTGCTACTAATGAAAAGAAGCATGCTATCAGCCAATTTCACGCGGTGTAGAATGCTCACCCGTTTCTGAGTTTACTGGGGGGAAACAGAAATTTTGTTATTCAAACCTCTGCACTGTTCACCATGTCAACCTACTCAAAACTTGTGTTCAACCACTTGTAGACAGGACTGAGTTCTGGCAACTGAGCGTCATCTAGTCGCGTACATCATGCAGAACCCGGAGGTAAGTCTTCGAACGTTTCTCTCATATGCCAGTTTGGATCATAACACAGACATCTTCAACAGGCTGCAAAGTGGGCGAACCATGACTCACACGTAAGCGCACCATGCTGTACCGTGGTTCAACCAGTCCGCGCTCCGGTTCACTGGAACAAGGGACGTCATCTCACATTGGGTCCACATTCTGCCTATGTTCATCAAGTACACCATGCAACCAGTAACGACAACTCAGCTTTGCGAACGATCCGGTTTCAGTATGTACCGTAATATACCGTCCTTAAAACGTATTCCGATAATATGCAAAAGAATACCATGCCTATTGGCCACACATAATTTTGCCACACTAAATCTTGGCCATATGTTCAGCTATCAAGCAGGATAAATCAGCTTAAACATCCAGAACAGATTTACTGCGACTGCTGTTGGCACCAGTTAGACAGACATTTCCTTCTACCATTTTTCTTGTTTCAAATTCGTTTTCGATTTCAAGCACTGGATTGCATTTACCTTCGTCGAGGTGCATTTTCAAGATAATCCCGAGGCACTCGCCGGTGGTGGATGTGTTCTGCCTGATTAACACAGGTTTGACCGTGTATACCACAGATGAAACTGCTATTAATATCTGCTTGCAGTACACAATGTGCTCGACAGGGGAGCTGATTATTGGGCTGTTCAAGTGGGTTTGTTCATTGACGCCAACGACACCCACATAATCTCAGAAGTACCACTGGGAACACACGGTTTATCAAATTCTATGTTCGTAATTGTTCACAAACATTGTGTTCGCAAGACACATGCGAGCGCGTCCTGTCTCTCAGGGGTATTTGGACGATATCGATTTCTGTCGGTAATTTTGATCTGAGCTCACTGTGGCGTCCAGCAAAGTTTGTGTACTGCATGTGGGTTGGCACCGGGAGATCAGGACCTATTTCAAGTATCCTCAAAGTCTTTTCACATGGTCTCAACATCCATTATGACTGACGTGTTTTGCATGAGGTGCTGTGCGCCCATACAGATTACCTCGATCTTGGGAGACCGAGCAGCTGGGGCCTATTTGAGTCATCACAGCCATGAAGTGATCAAGTCTCCCTATCTCCGACAGCAATGTACATGTTAAAATATCAGACTGATCGGTTGTATAAAACTCCGAATTCGAGTTTTGCCAGCAATGAACAAGGTGATACGAGCATAGCGGTGTGTACTACTGAGGATGCGTTTGAGTAGTCTATGATCTGGTGTCCAAGCTCAATCCCACATCCGATAAAAAGTTAAGTTTATTACAGAGTCAGTAATTGATTCTTAGTTGTTATTTGATGTGTCCTGACTTAAATCTAACAAAAGCAGAATGCTTAGAGACACAAGTCGAGCGTGAGAGGTCTCTACCTAAACAATCAATGGTACGTCTGCCACTGTGGAAATTGGTCCAATGTGGTGCTACTTAAAACGCGATCTTCTGAGAATTCCACTTTGCGATAAGGTGAGGTTAGAAAATGGAACATCGAAGATGCCTGTCCTCCGTAGTACAAATCTCATTTCAAGCTTCCAGTTGGTTGAATATTACTCAGAAGGTTGATGGATATTCTGCACAATACACTACGGTTTCGCCCTTCCTGAGGCTCATCACACCCTACCGATACCTTGTACGAAGCATTGAACACAGAATGTACGCACGTTTTTACCCGCCCAGCTCCATAAAGACTAGGTAATTGCACTTGTGCTCTGACAGAGGGCCACAAGATGACCTCTGACCCGACCAAAATACGCAAAACGCCACTGCGCAGAAGCAGTAACAATTCATTTTCGACCCGTGTTTCGAGCGAACTAACGGTCGACAACTATCTAATTCTAGAAAGGATTGACGAGCAGTGAAAAAGCATTTGGCACAGAATGCGGAGTTTTTTAATGTTGTTACCCTTCGACACGTGTTTTTCCAGCTATGTGATTTTGATCAGTTCGCTGGTGATAAAGGTCACCCGATGTGACCGAAAGGTTGAACAACAAAACTTTGATCAAAACCAGCGAAAAACACTCATTTGCAAACCAATTTGGTTTCGCGGGAGACTAACGTGGAACCCGATTGAATCTCTCGTTTATGATGTTTTGATCAGAACCGTTTTGTTCTATCCCAATCAATATGATGCAAATAGCGCGCGAAACATCAAGCTATGCACAGTTTCGTCACAGCAAGATTGCTCTCAAACTCATCGAATAAATTTAGTACTTGAACGTCAATCATCATCATCCTCTAATTAAACTCCATACTGTGTTATAAACACCCATTTGTGAATTAATTTGGCGTCACGGGAGCCCGTATGTTATGACGGTCTTCAACTGAATTTGCTGCTCAAGGACCATCTCACGTTTTGGCATCGAAACTCGGGCATAAATTTTTCCGTCGTTAGATCGTCAGTTATTGACATGCCGGAGAAAAAAATTCTTGAACCACGGCCACACTATTGTAGAACGTATATGAAAACGCATCAATGAAGAACTTCTTTGCAACTTTCCTCCGGGATTTGACGAACGTAGGAAAAATCCAACGCACTTGAAACTGAGCCGACTCTATCCACGGCATTCCTGACAATTGGGTGGAACTTGCAAATTTCGTCCGATAAAACAAAGCGGAGATTGAGAACAGATTCAAGCGGTCGCTGTTAAGTACAGAGATCATATTCAAAAGAAAACTAATTGACCTCAGTAACTGGCACCTTCTGAACCAGAAACATGTTTCGGATATTGGTCATTCAAACAAATGAGGTGATTCCAAAATGAATGAAGATGCTGTGCTTCCGAAAGGAGTAAGATTATATTTTTGAAGAAACATATGTCAGAAACACCCCATTTCAGCATCGATGCACCGACACAAGATCCAATGGATGGAAAAACAATCGAAACAGCTGTACAGTGCTTCTTGGCTTTTCAGCATACATTGGCTTAACTCACAGGATGAAATCTCCACAAAAGCTTTGTTGTTTGGTCCCATCTATCCAGCCGAGTTTAATTTACTGACACGGATTAGACATCACACCAAATACTCATAAGTGTCTTTCTCGGACTGCTAGTTATGTACTTTAAGTAAGTTTAGCAAAATGACTATTAGAGATTCATTAAGCTGTCAGAAAGTGGCATAAAAATTGACAGTTGAGGAGTGTCTCCAAAATGTGCCTATTTTGGGGGTAACCTACATCTCACACCTGAAAGTAGGCTCCCTGTTTACTGGAGTTTCTTAAACAGAAGCCATTTTCATGTGTGGTGGTGTCCTTGAAACCCACCCCGATCTTATTCCCTTACTTATACCAGTTCTTTGGGATCCAATTAGGCAATGAGATGGGCATGTTAGATAGTTTTCACTTCAAGAGCTACATGCAAGTTGATGATGCTGTCATAAAAGACTCTCTAACCAATCATAGCTGATACTTCTTTCTAGCAAAACCGAAAATGGCAGGAATTCGCTCAGTTATCTTACACAAAATCTGCTTGGGTAATGTTTTTCTCAGTCTTTGAACAACTAGAACGCATCAACCAATCACAGTGGGGATGGGGCTGAACCAACCAGCTGCCTTTCTCGGATCACCATATCGATCATGGCTCCATCCGCGGAATCGACAGTCAGCACCTACAAAAGTATGCTAGTCCCCACCTAGCTTCACATTGTAATATAGATATCCAACGAAACTGAGTCACTTGAAAGGATATTGACGTCAACTAAGAACCACGAGAGTTTCAAAACGAACACAACGAAACAGACCCCAAGAGGAAGTTTCAGTCATCGGTTCACAAAATATTCATCTGGCCGCTCCATATATCATTAACGAGAAAACGGGGC